TTTAGGGGCAAGAAAAACACACTCCTGTCTGGGGGAAGACAGCAGAGACTGAAGAGTGTCAGGGAAGCAGGAGCCACATGGCTGCCACCCCACAAGGCACCAGGGCTGTGTTCACCAACTGAACTGACCAGGCACTGACCAAGCAGAGGCAGAGGGGACCAGGTATCTGCCTGGTCAGGAGGCGTTCTGCCTATTCCACCACTTTGATGCTTCCATCTTCAAGGCTAGACCTGATGTCCAAACCCTTTTACAGACAGCAGGGCTAGTCCTCCTGTGGACTGCTTCTGAAAGAACTGTCTTCAAACAATTGATAAGAGAGGGAGGAGGTGATGACACCCTACTTTCTGTTTCCAGTTTCTTCAGGAATGAGAACAATGCTCAGATTTGAAAAGCAAGGCATAATAAATGGTGAACAAAAGCTCCTGATAGAAGAGTTGATAGAAAGAGCATATCAAGCCACTTCAAGTAAGTTCAAGTGTCCAGTTGCAAACTAATTACATCCTGGAAAAGCATGTAGATTGCTTCTGCTAATAACATGTAGGAAATCACAGAGCATAGAAATGGCATCAGAAGACTAGAGATAAGCATATGTCCCAATTTCAATATGAGAAAGAAAATTTGAGACTGTTATGCTTGATACTGACCCTCCGTAAAAGTTTAGAAGAAATTATTCAGATGCCACAGGACTATTTAGAAAAGATAAATAACATCATTAAGTGCCAGCAGGAGGTCTTTTAGAGAAAGCTGTGGCAAGCGAACCTCATTTCACTTTTTCTGCAGGGTTTCTAGGTTGATAGATTGGAAAGGCTATAGCCATGGTGTATCATGGTTTTAGCTTTTCTTGATAATGCTGAGAAAGGGTAAATATGGGTGACATGAGCGCATGGCTATATGAGTTCGTTGATGGGTAAGCAACCTTAAGGATTACTGGTTAATATATTCATGTCAACCTGAAGTGGTTTTCAGGGGTATGTCACAGAGACCTGTCCTTTGTCTTATATAAGTTTCTAAGCAATAGCTTGTATCAAATCTTTGGATGACAAAAACTTAGATATGTGAACATTAATTTTAAAAAGATAAAAATTGGCCGGGCGCGGTGGCTCAAGCCTGTAATCCCAGCACTTTGGGAGGCCGAGGCGGGTGGATCACGAGGTCAAGAGATCGAGACCATCTTGGTCAACATGGTGAAACCCTGTCTCTACTAAAGATACAAAAAAATAGCTGGGCATGGTGGCGCATGCCTGTAATCCCAGCTGCTCAGGAGGCTGAGGCAGGAGAATTGCCTGAACCCAGGAGGCGGAGTTTGCGGTGAGCCGAGATTGCGCCATTGCACTCCAGCCTGGGTAACAAGAAAGAAACTCCGTCTCAAAAAAAAAGATAAAAATTTAGAGGTACAGCAACATGCAAGCATGATGAGACAAAAAGTAATAAGGCTGGAACTACACAGGGATATGAATACAATCAGTAGGTATAGGTTCAAAAAAAATATGCTTAGTTGAAAGCTAACCTCGGCAGCATTCATGTGAGATCAGATGTGTATGTGTGTTTTGGGGTGGAGAGTGGGGGTTATCTCAACAAGTCACATATTCAATGAGTTAACTCCGTGTCAAGGTTGCCGGAAAAAGTAAACATGCTCTTGAGTTCTGTTAAAAGAATTCTGGTGTCCAGAATAAGGAAGCTAACCACCCCACAATTAGCTATCAGAATACTCCATTGGAGTTCTGGGCACCACGTTTTAAATGGGACACGAGAAGAGTGGAATGTGGCCAACGTCTAGGCATCAGTCAGAGAGCAAAGTGAAATGTTCCAACTGGAAGAGGAATGTCCTGAGGTAGATATGCTTGTTGATACATTTTAAAGTATATTTCTCAGAATGAGAGCACATTTATTCTCCGAGGTTCCAAGTAGAACAAATAGCCATCAGAGGGCTGCATCCCTTTTAATGCAGGAAATGGTGGTGTTTAGAACTGTCCTTCAGTGTCAAGAACTGCTCTGAAGCAGGCAGCTCACACCGGATGTCCATATGGAGGTGAATGACCACATGCCAGAGGTGGTGCAGGGGGACTTATCTGTGTTGTGGTAAGTTGGTCAAGCAGAGCTAAACATCCCTTCCAACTTTAAGAATGTCTCTAGGAATCTCTCTCTTCTTTATTCAAGTAACTACACACTCTGTCTCTAGAGTTGGAATAGCTCCATAGACTCCACTCTTCACCATCTTACTCTACATCTTATCAGGGAAGGGGGGAATTTCAAGGGTACAAATGCAAATAGGATGAATCCCTTCTCAAAGAACAGTCTTAGGTTAAACATTACATAAACTGAGAATGTGATTTTTTTTTAAAAGCTTCTAAATAAGCAGAAAACAAAGCATGCCTAACAGGTCAAAACAAAGCCTTCTAATATTACTTAATATCAAGTTTTTCTATTTGTGGAAATAAAATGATGGAGGCCAGTAGCAGCAGACCAGTACTACCTCTGAATAGCAGTTACTGCAGAAGGATTCTACATTTATGAATCACACAGTATCTGGCTCTTCAGAGACAGATTTTTTTAAAGTATCCTCCTTTTAAAAAAACAAGTCTTATCACTGACTAAAAAGCAATAAATACACACATAAATGATCTTAGTTCTTTATGAAAATATCAAGATACACATCTGCCCCAGCATCATGCATGAACTTTTAAACAACTGTCTCATGAGAGCTGATTAATTCTTCTTATATATCAGTTAAATATAAATGGCGGTTCTTATTTAATATGCTGCTAATCTACATGACTGTCAAAGCCCTAACATTTGACCAAAGTGATGGGAGGGAGGTTAGCAGAGGTGGTATTTCTTTCACAGGTAGGTTGAGTTACTATTTTGACTTTAGTGGTGCAAAAATCTCAACACAGTGAAATGTACATCTCCCAGCCGCATTTTCTAAAACCAACCAAAAATATGATACTGTATCTAATTAAGGCTCTCCTAATTTGAGTGCCTCCTACTTGAGTACCAAGTTAAAGAGAAATACAAAATATAAATAGTTGGTGCTTTTTCTAGAGGATTACCAACATGAAATGTATATGAAACATTCAGTGGTAGGAAATTTAGTACATACTCCCCAGAAAGCATCTAAATGTGGGAGCTAATAGAATGTGTCTTACCAGGACACTTTTTAAAAAATTAAGTAAATAAAACACGAAAAAGTGAAAAAGAAGAAACAACTCAATATCCGCACGCTGAAATATTTAAATACCTTTTACCTACAGTACAACTAAAGACATACTCAATAACCAGTCACACTGAAACTGTGTTTTCTGTTTCTAGAAATAAAACCATGGAAACCAGCATCAGCAAGGACACTTTCTTTCTGGCGCTCAGAAGTCCATTCACCTGCCTGATTAGGCTCAAAGTCTGAAAGGCTGATTATTAATAATGAAACTGTTCAAAGTACCTGATTTATATTAACCCCTTGATGACCCATAAGGACTCTAGAGGCAGACACAGTAATGACTCCCATTTTTTTGGATGAGGAAACTGAGGCTCAGAAAGGTTAAGTAAATTACTCAACTGTCCCATAGCTAGTGAATGCCAGAGTCAAAAGCAAGTGGTCAAATCAGGACAAGAGTCCGTACTCTAAACCACTGTGCACTGCTCAGCTGAGGTTTAAGGCATAAAACCTCCTACCACTCTGTATTTTTGGATGGTTTCTAGGAAAGTGGTCAGCCCATTGCCACGTACACCAGGAAGTCACAAACTCAAAGGCTATGGAGCTAGCAGGTAATACCAATGAACAAAGTAAGCCAGGTGTAAAAAGCATGATGGTAAATGGTGACTCACTCCATGCTGAAGAGATGATAGGGAGTGATGGGGATTGTGGCAACCCAGATAGAGCATGATGCTGCCAATGAAAGGAGGCCACTTCCTCATGCCTACTGACTGCTACCTTAGGGAGAGCTGGGCAAAACGCTGCCAGAGTTTCAGGTTTTTCAAAAGGATGGAGGATGGGGGGACCTGTTTGCAAAAAAAATCTCTCCAAGTTTATATATTTGCTGCCCCCACCCCCACCCCTCAAAAAAACAACATAAAACCAAATAAATCTGTTGACAATATGTAGTCCGCCTGTTGGTGACTTCTTTTATGTCCCTAAGGAAAGACACAGACATTGCCTTAGAATGAAAGGCCTAGCTTCCAAACCTCCAAGGGTTTTCCTGGCCTTTCTCAGTGTTACCACAGCCCTCGACATACTCAGTAAGTAACAAACAAAATGCCTGTCACATGTCACAGCACATCTGGTCAGAGAAACACATGTTACACTCTCCTGAGACAAAGGCAAAAAAGTTTGATGTATATGCAGAGTGATGCTCTCTACTTAGTACTATTTTGCTTTAAACCAGGGTCTGAGAAAATAAGGCATAATAATCCAAGCTGGCTTCTAGAATACCATCCCTTTCTATGGCAAATATACAAGGGGAGCTGGGGGGTGAATAGAAACGTGAGCGTTACTGATTCATGGTTTACAAGGAAGTTTTCATGTTCACTCTAGACAAAGAATGGACTTGTGGTCAAAATCTCCTTCCTGAATTGCTGTCGTTCCCCTTCATTAATGAACAGCTGGTCCAAACCCAAGAGAATGGGGTTGCCCTTTGTGGCCACTTCAGAAGCTATCAAGGGAATGCACTTACTTATTTATTTATTTTGAAAAAAGGAAAATAGTAAGCACAAAATCTGAGAGACCTTGTGGGCAAAATGGAGCAAGAAATTCTGGCCTTTTCACAAACATTTCCACCTACTCCTCTTTCCCCCTTACAGATAAAAAAGGCTTAACAGCAAAACCCCACGATGGAAAGTTTCTTGCTTTTTATACTACATAATCTTTATAATTATTTTTCCCTTCCTGCTATGATGTATTCAGCAAGGCCATGATGAAAAACTAATAACACAACTTAGTTATTCATGTTAAACAGTTACAGGTGTACAGAGCAATACTAGTTAATGTCAAACATTTCTGGTAACTGACTGCTTCTCAGCCTTTTGGCTGAGATCAACTGCAATACCTGTTGTTACATGCTAACATCTGATTCCTCTTTATCCAAGGACAGTATGCTAAAAGGATTTTGGAAGCTGGGAGCTAAAACAGGAGCTTGCTCCATCCACTCCACACACTGACCTAGTACTGCAGTACCTCCAGGAAGGACACACTCTCTTTAGAAAAAAAATTTTTAATTGGTAATTAAAAACTGATTAATACTACTATGCAACTGAGGGAGTGAACATGTCTGTTTCCTGTCAATTTTTCAACTAAAATGAGAAGCCATCTTCAAATGAAAACATCACCACATAATAATCAAGTGGAAACCAAGTCAACTACCCAAATGGAGCCTAACTAGTTCATTTACTGTATGGGTCTGACTGACACCGTAACCTGTCTTTGGTTTTCAAATAATTATTCATTGTTTAAAATGGCCCAGGAGGAGCGTCTAGCAGAACTTTCTCAAAGTCCATATCTAAAAGTTGCATGAAAAAGGTAAATTTGCTGAAAGACTATGCTGACTGTGTAGTATTAGGAAGAAAGAGATAACTCAAACAAGAGCTCAGAAATTCAGGTGTTAGAAGGAAAGAAGAAACTGTTTCCTATGAAGCATCTGTTTGGCTTTAAACAATCATAACATGAAATGGTTACCTTAAATATATTAGAATTCATCTTTTGCTAACAATTCAATTTAGAAAAATAATTTCACTCCATCATCCCAATCCCTTTCATCTGAAATATCTTCATTTTCAGATGGTATTTCAGAGGTCCTTAAGAATCCTTCTCTAATTTAGATTTTTTTTTTAATTTTGTAATCCAAACTAAATTTTCAGTTATCTTAAATAATACATGGTGAAACATCATACAAAATACCAACAGTGGCCATTTTAAACATGGTACAAAGAGAGAAAGCTATAAAACACAAACTAGAAAGAACCTCAATAAAACGCAAGTGTATCACCTAGTAACTCCTGCTCCTTAGGTAGTGCCACTCAGCATCTTGGTGAGAGGTGATCAAGGTGAAGGAACCAAACACTCACCTATCTTTGTAGTTTATCACAGTATCGATGATAGCATTCATCTGCTTTGTCAGTTTGGGGGGATTGGGTGACAATTTCTCAGCAGGAGGGCGGCCTCTTCTCTTCTTAGCTTTTTCCACGTCTTCTTTGGCAGGATCCTTATCCACGTTTCTTCGTCTTTTTCGCTTCTTAAGCCGCACTTCCTCTTCCATTTCCTCCAAATTGCCGTCTTCAATGGCCTGTTCATTGGAAAGAAAGGAAAAAAATTCAAGACAAGAAAATAACCAAGACAAAAAAAGTAATGTGTATATTTGTATATAGCTTCAACAATTAGAATAAAATGAAAGAAATTAACCAAAAAAAAAAAGTAAAAGTTAACAGTAGTCAATGGAGCAAGAAGAAAAAAGGAATGCTACCATATTGGATAAAAGCATCTTTAACTCGGGTCTGTTTCATGAGCAAAACACACTGAAGGCCCAAAACACTCACAGTAAAGAAGAATATGACAAATATTAAAAGATCTATAAACTCAAGTGTTTGATGGTAACTGAATCCAGATGAAATTTTAGCTCAGTTTAAGAACAAGACCCTAATTTTCTCATTACTGTAAGGGAAGGAAAAGGTAAACAAAACGAGGGTGGGTTATGAAAAAAAAAAATTCCTAAGAATGCATCCACACGATCATATAAGCTTTGACCTTTTCTTGAGGTTTTGCATCCATTTATTCATGATTAACAACATAAATCAAAATTCCATCTAGATTTTTTTTCTAACATAGCAATTAGTAAACAAGGAAACAGGAAAGTACAAAGCCACATTCTTTGGTAAACGTACTTAAATCATCCGATAAGGAACACACACACTCACAAACAATAAACACTTTTTTCCAATTACCTGCAAACGCTTGCTTTAAACCAGAGCCAGCAGCACTAATGCAGAGAGATAATAAAATAGCTATAAAAACAACCAGGTATAAAAGAAACCTGTTCATAAAGGGCTAGAAGATCCATGTGACAGACCCAGAAGTTTAAACTTTTTTTTTTTTCCTGGTAAATCTCAAAACTCAAAAGAAGAAAAATAAAAGGGAAAAATACTGCAAAGGAAAAAAACAAAGAACAACATAAAATCTGAACATAGAAAAGAAATTTTCTAAAAAAATCTTTACATTTTGAGATTGCCCTCTCACACAAAATAACTAATGTTGTTATTTGTTCCTCCTGCCTCTCAATATTGCCTCCAGTATGCAAATGATAATCAATCCTTTCTCGTAGCTGAAAGAGCTCTAATCATAAGGCAATTACCTTCATTTCGCCACAGCACCAAACATGGCTAATATTTATGATCATGTGAGTATAACAATCAATATAAAGAGTGATTACAGCTCAGATATAATTTCTTTCACTTATGTACAATGCCTCCTGAAAAAGAAAGGTTTTGTGAAGAAAACCTGGTGCAGAACACAAAACAACCTGGCATCTTAAAAATGCCAGTGGGATTTAAAAAAAATATGTTTTCTATGCATCCTCCAATGTGCAAATCCATAGAAGCAACATGCACACAGACAGATTCCTAAGGGACAGTCTGAGCCTAGGCCTTAATAATCAAAAGACAATTTCCATCACGATCCTACAGTGTTCAGATAACCACTATGAAGGAAGCGAGATCTGATGAGTTATGAGGAAAAAGGAAAAGGAAAAAAAAAAGCTCCACATTATTGCATTAATATTCATTTGCCTAAAAGCAGGACACCCACTATACAGCTAAACACACTGCAGCTAAGCAAAGATTAAGAAAAGGAAATTGTCCCGCATATCTTGGAGGCTGAACATGCTAATAATAAATACAGCATGCAAGGCTGTCAACAGTTAATGGTACTGCTCTCCTCAAGCACCCAGTTGCACACAGAAATACGGAGAACACCGGCTTTTGATGTGTTACACACCTACACATGCCTGGGATGTAGTTCTACTGAATCTTCAAGACGGCAACGAAAAAGGATATTTACCTTACCACTATCAGCAGGCCGGCTATCGGAAATCACAGTTAGTGGGGATAAAATTAACAAGCCAGCAAAGCAGCGAGCTGCTAGTCTCTTCATCAGCTGATCAGGAAAAAAAAGAGAGCTGGGGAAAGGCTATGTTTTCATATACAAGTAATTTTATTTTACTGAAAATTTAATACTGAAAGGATTGTGGATACTCAAATCTGCTGTTTCATTCTACCTACTACAAGGCCCGAAGGCTTCCTCCTTCAGCCTGTTTTAATATTGACAACTACTTATCATATTTTTTCCCCTTATTATTCCAGGCAGCAGAATTAGAGATTTTAGCTCAGGTGGTTTCTGATTCTTGCTCGCATTTTAACAATTAAGCCAGTAAGAAAACAAATTAATATTCAAATTTATTTTAGAAAATTAAAACAAGGTCTGCTTTTTTGGTATTTTAAACCTTATTAAAAAAAATAGCTGCATGGTTTGGAGCAGTCTGAATGATTTTTAAAATAGAAGACAATTTTTTAAAAAATTAAATGCATGTAAATAAAAGCAATGTACATGTTCTAAGCTGCAAATATTTTAATACAATATGTTATTCTTCTCTTTAAAGAAAATCCAGAACAACTGTGACACTTCACTTTCAGTTTCATGCTGTAAAATTTTTCATTGTTTTTCTTTCCAGTGGGATAAATGAAGTTGGGGGGAGTTGTGAAAAGGATACTTCTACTTTCACCCCCCCTTAATTTTGAAAAGAATGAAAAAGCATAAGCTTGTGATATTTGGACTTTTAAATCTCTAAATCTGTGAGCAGCTAAGAAGCGAAAACAAATTAAATTGCAAACAGAACAACTGAAACAATTTTTATTACAATTGCTCATACGTGCAGATTCTTATTAAATTTAGGTTCTGGAATTACAAGGAAACACACAAAGTACTGACCATTATTCCCCTTAAACTAAGGTTTTATGCAGGAATGCAGAGAGCTACAAAACATCTTCCCTCCTCCCCGAAGACCCCAAACACATCCATATGCAGTGCTTTATGTTCTGTGATTTCTAAGGGTCTTTTTCTAATGGAAATCAATTCACTAAATACTTCCCAATGCTTTTCGCACGTAAAGAGTAGAGTAAGATTACTCCTGCATGTAAGTAAAATTATTCATGGAGATTTTAAACTGTTCTTTTATTTCTAAAAATTATTTATTAAACTGGCTCAACTGACTCAAACTCAGCGCTGGGGGTTGGGGGGGCACACAAAAAAAAACCCAAAAACTTGCTACACAATACTAAAGTACTACCCCCAAAAAGAATTCCCTTCCAAACCTTTTACCAGCACAATAATGAAATAAATCACAGAAGCAAACCCCCAGTTTCCGACTGGTGACGTGTTGCGCAAGAGTGCGAGCCCTAATTCAACATACAGACGGCTCCCATGCTGAACTGCCTCTAGATTTAATGAAGTGAATAGGAAGGAAGTCGGGGAAAAAAAGTGTACAAATAAGAAATTAACACTTTCCTTTCCTACCGAAACGGTGAAACACAACTACAGCGAAGTTTAGTGAGGCACCTCTTTTCTTAAAGGCACACTGCACCCATTTGGCTCCGGATGTCACGGAAAAAAAAAAAAAACACAAAAAACAAAAAAACCCATATGGTGGTAAAAATCCCCAGTCAAGTTAAAACAGTTAAGCATATTTCAGCCTGCGTTTTTCCTGAATGAAGCTGGGAATTACTCCTTCCTCCACTGGATGGCAACCTTTTTTTTTTTTTTTTTTTTTTTTTGGCCCTCTCTCTTTTCTTTCTTTCAATTTTGCTTAAAAGAAAAAGAAAACGTTTTTCATGACTCAGGGTATGCAAGAACGAGATGCAAACTAGCTCCCTCTTCGATTAATTCTTCTGAAAGCAGCGTGCAGGTTCTGACAACCAAAATGCAGGAGACAGTCATGCAGGATTAGCTGTTTTAGAGGAAACACTTTGCAGCTCGCAAAGCACATGGCAGAACCGGGAAGCGGCCACACGTGGGTCCAGTCGTGGCCCTCTCATCCTGACACACACCAACCACATCTTTTTCTGCCTGACGGAAGGTCCAGAAAGTCAGCCTCAGGCTCCTTCTTCTCAACGCAGTGGTGTGAAGAGGTGCTGTTATGCATGGTTCACAGTATCACAAAGCAGAGGGGATCCATGATTATGAATAGGTAAACAGGGACACACAAACAAAAAGCCCCAAGCCAACTCCGAGCATTGTTTCCACCTCCGCCTCTCCAAGTCCACCAAGCCATGTGGCACAGCCCTTACAGTGGAACAAACCATCTTAACACTGAAAGGAGCAATTCTAAAGATATTCAGACAATGCGTGGAAATTTCTTGGATGTGAAATGGGAAAGTCAGTACACAGACACTAACTCTGCTATTTCAGTATCATATTTCTGTCCACTGACACTTTCTCTTTCTCCCTCTGGGGATCCTCTTCCCTTAGGAACTCTAGTTGGATTCTAGAAGAGGATCCTGGGATGCTGCTGGGGTTGGGGGTGGGATTATGGAGCATTAAAGAATGCAGATTTAGCCCTTTATATTATACTAGTGCTTTCTGAGGACAACTCACACATCACCAAACTTGATTCCAAAATTCAGACAGGCTAAACCTCCCTCACACCCTGCTGAGACCCCAGAAGCCAATAATACAGGTAACGATCCCCCAAACAAGAAGAGTAATGGCAACAAAAGTGGAATTTTACATTTACAATTTCATGTATGAGACATTTTCTTACAGTATAAATACTAAACAACCATGACGCTGAACATAGAGCTCGTCCTCAAAGATGCCACATTATCTTTATCAGTTTAATACAAGCTGTAGCACTTTTAGATGCAGAATTTCAGACTCAGGCCTTTAGACGATAAGTTTTTGATTATTACTGTCTCCAAAAGCAACCTGTTAGAAAAACTGGCATAAAATCAAATTCCCTAAAGTGAAATAACCCAGATGCAAAGGGGCAAATACTGTATGATTTCAGATATGAGGAAGGAGAGCAGTGGTTACCCGGGGCTAAGGGAAGAGGGCTGGGGAGTTGGGGCTCAGTGAGTTCAGAATTAGTTTGAGATGATGGCAACGTTCTCAAGATGGATGTTTGTGATGGCTGCACAATGACGTAACCGTATGTAATGTTACTGAACTGTACGCTTAAAATAGCTAAAATGGTAAGTTTTATGTGTATTTTGCCACAGAAAAAATGTCCCTGAAAAGAAA